TCACTGTCGGTTGAGTTGTGTTGTCTAATATTATATCAAATTGTACGTATCCTTCGCTTCCACATTTGTGATCCATTTTAAATTCGTACATTTCACATTTCTGGTCAACCATTTGGAAGGTAACTTTTCAAGTGATTTTTTGTCCAAATTTAATAGAAAGTTAATTTTTATTTTTTTCAAAAATACTTTTATATTACTTTGAGTTATATCGGTTCTTAGGAATAAGTATGCCAAAAATACTCTCAAATACAATCTTCATAATCTTAATAAGATTCTCCCGTAAAAATCATTCATTATTCTTGCCATCTAAACATGATGTTGATACTTCCTATAAATTTTATCCTCACACGATTGCTAGATAAACACTAAGTCCCTACCTGTTGGATATATATATTTTTTTAATTTTAATAGTTGTGCGATAACATCATACTAGTTTACTTTACCCAACTAAACTATATTCACATTAGATATATTTAACTTTTTTATGTTCTAGTGAAAGAAAGTTGCGAGGTTCAAAATTTTGAAATTTTACTTTCAAGATTTAAAATTTCAGATTGGTATTGTTACTAAACCGAAAGTTAAGTTTCTAATTCTACCTAATTTCATGTTAGTATTAAAAAGTGTCAAAAATACAATAATAAATCTGAAAATAAATTAACTGACCTGAAACAGTAATTAAATTGAAGTTAAATTATATAAAAAAAATTTGATCTATTTTGGTAGGTTTCTAATAAGTTCTTTTAAACTTTTAAGGTTATCTAGTCTTGTAATTTAATGAGCTGTTTTGAATTTTGAATTTTGTGTCTTACATGTTACTCTTGCTAAATATATTATAATTTAATGCCACAATAAACCTAAAACTACCTAAAGTCGACATGCCACCTAAACATTAATTAAACTATGACTTTTAACAAGAAAGATGGACACAAAATTGAAAATTTCATAGACTTTATAAATCTTTGACTAGTTCTAAACTTTGTCACTTGTTTAAAAAATACCCCTATTATTTTAAAAGGTTTCAATATTACATTCAACTTTTCAAAAATACTATTTGAGCAAACATTCATTAATATTTTGAACGGAAAGTTGACGTGGAAGAATTTGGAACGACGTATAAATTAGCATCTTAACTTTGACCTAAAAGTTTCTTTCCTGTATTGTAACAAAGTTTGCTTCTTTCACATTTCCCCTCATTTCAGACTTAATCCACACAAATTTTTATGTTAATTTATACATTGTTCTAGATTCTACCACGTTAACTTTTCGTTTAATATTAACCTATGTTTTCTCAAATAATATTTTTGAAGCTCTAATAGTAGTACTGAAATTCTTGAAAAGAAAAGTGCTAAATAAATGACAGAGTTCAAGAGTATATTTTATAATTTAGCCTGAATCTTTAAAATTAATTACAAAGTGGACACAAAATTTTAAAGTTCCATGAGTATGAGAGTTTTTTCCCAGTACAGAAATTAAAATAGACACCAACTCAAAGAAAAGTTTAAAAATAATATAATATAAATGAAAAGGTACGTTTTGGAAAATATATATATATATATATATATATATATATATATATTTATATAAATATTAATGTAGTTTAGTTTTAAAAGTTTAGTCGATAAAGATGTTTTTGTAAACTAATGACAAAAATATGATAGATTTTTTTATAGGTTGCAATTAGTTCATAGGTAAACAATTTTTAAAATAATAATTTTAAAATTTCAATTATTTTATTTATTTGTAAGTAATTTTCGTCTCTTTCTTTCCATTCGAATTTGCTATTGCACCGATTACTCTCCCAATTAAAGCTCTCTCTTTCTCCTCCTTTTGGCAGGAAAAAAAAAAGAAAAAACCGTGCATGGTCTGCACTTGCCAACAGTTAATGCCAGGTGGATACTGGATAGTTTATAAGCAGAAGAATCGCTTTTGAAGGACACGATTTTAGTAGTAAAATAATTTTGAAGCCCAAAAAAATATCAAAATATTATCCGACCACAGTGGGAGTCGAACCCACGACCTTTTGATCCGAAGTCAAACGCGCTAATCCACTACACTATGCAATCATTTTATTTGTTCTTCAAATTGTTTATATAAGGAAACAAAACAAAACAGAAACGAATTTTCTTCTTCTTTTGCAAATGAACGGAATCAATTTTCCCTCCCTTCTCTACTCCGCCGCTGCGAATTCCACAAAGGAAACATCTTTCGACTGCCAATGCAAAATGGCGTTCGATTGTCGCTCTCCAACCCAATCCCTAATCATTCTCTCTTCCGCCTCCTCCATTCTTACTCTGACTCCCCTCAAATCGACATTGCCCCGCCGCCATCGTCATCCCCACCGTTCAAATGCTCAATCTCCCCCCTCTCTCTCTCCACAACCCTCCGCAATCTCCTCCGCCCGCTCTCTGCACCACACCCACCTCCGGTTGTGTCTTATGCGCCCCTTTTCCAGTTCCTGACCGGCCTAAACCTGTTGAAATTGGGCCGCCAAATCCACGCCCACATGCTTCTCCGTGGCATCGACCCCACTGCGCTTGTTGGTTCGAAGCTGGTTGCGTTTTATGCGAGTTCCGGTGATATTGATTCCTCTGTTTCTGTCTTCAATCGGTTCAGTGACGGCCCTTCTTCGCTCTTGTTTAATTCCATGATTCGGGCATTTTCTCGATTTGGGTTTGCGGAAAGAACTGTTGCCACTTATTTTGAGATGCATTCTTGGGGCTTTACAGGGGATTACTTTACTTTCCCTTTTGTGCTCAAGTCTTCTGTGGATTTGTTGTGTGTTTGGATGGGGAGATGTGTTCATGGACAGATTGTGAGACTTGGGTTGCAGTTTGATTTGTATGTGGCTACTTCTTTGATTGATATGTATGGGAAATGTGGTGAGATAAATGATGCGGGTAAGGTGTTTGATAATATGACTGTTAGAGATGTTTCGTCTTGGAATGCTTTACTTGGTGGTTATATGAAGGGCGGGCATGTTGATGCTGCAGTGGCGATTTTTGAGAGAATTCCATGGAGGAATATTGTTTCTTGGACAACTATGATTTCTGGATACTCACAGAGCGGCTTGGCACAGCAGGCATTGAGTTTATTTGATGAAATGTTGAAAGAAGATTCAGGAGTAAGACCTAATTGGGTGACTATAATGAGTGTCCTTCCAGCTTGTGCTCAGTCATCGGCGCTCGATCGCGGAAGGCAGATTCATGAACTGGCGTGTCGGATGGGTTTGAATTCAAATGCTTCTGTGCTGATAGCCCTTACTGCAATGTATGCTAAATGCGGAAGCCTAGCTGATGCTCAGAACTGTTTCAATAGGCTTAATAGAAGTGAAAGGAATTTGGTTGCTTGGAATACCATGATAACTGCTTATGCTTCCTATGGACATGGGCTTGAAGCAGTGTCGACCTTTCAGGAGATGATCCAAGCAGGCATTCAGCCCGATGACATTACATTCACAGGATTATTATCGGGTTGCAGCCATTCGGGTCTTGTCGATGTCGGTTTAAAGTATTTCAACTGCATGAGCACCACATATTCAATCAAACCCAGAGCTGAGCATTATGCTTGTGTTGTCGATCTCTTGGGTCGAGCAGGGAGATTAGCGGAAGCAAGTAAACTTGTAGACGAAATGCCAATGCCAGCAGGACCAAGCATTTGGGGTTCGCTATTAGCTGCCTGCCGAAAATACCGCAATCTGGAAATGGCAGAAACTGCAGCAAGAAAGCTATTTGTCCTGGAACCAGAAAACACTGGAAACTATGTCCTGCTTTCTAACATGTATGCTGAAGCTGGAAGGTGGCAGGAGGTGAACAAACTGAGAGCAATTCTGAAATCTCAGGGAACAAAGAAAAGTCCAGGCTGCAGTTGGATCGAGGTCAATGGCAAAGCGCATATGTTTCTCGGTGGCGATACATCCCACCCTCAAGCCAAGGAGATCTACATGTTCTTGGAGGCATTGCCGGAGAAGATGAAGGCAGCTGGCTACATGCCCGATACAAGCTATGTGTTGCACGATATCAGTGAGGAAGAGAAAGAATCCAACCTTATTGCGCACAGTGAGAAGCTCGCTGTTGCGTTCGGGATTCTCAACACTTCTGCTGAAACCGTTCTCCGAGTGACGAAGAACTTGAGGATCTGTGGGGACTGCCACACTGCAATGGTGTTCATATCAGAGATATATGGGCGGGAAATAGTTGTTAGAGATGTGAATCGGTTCCACCACTTTAAAGGTGGTTCTTGTTCTTGTGGAGATTATTGGTGATTCATACAAAAAGATTATGAAAATGGATAATTTTGATGGAAAATTTCCATGGCACGGTGAGTTTTTAGGAGACCAACTTCATTTGCAATAGGTTGTTACAATTAAATGAAAATTTTATACTCATACATTCAAACACATCAAATTAGTATTCATAGCTGAGTAGAGGTACATTATACACTAAATTTGTATTATTTAAATCCTCGAGATTTGAATCTCTTGATGTATGATGTAATATTAAAAAAAAGAAAAACTTGTAAAATCATTGCAACTAAACTGGACTATTAATTGCAATAATTTTATAATTTTAGGGAGGTGATTCATTCCATTGCAAGTTTGTGTGATGATAAATACTTGTATAATTCACCTTCCAAGTATATATCTTGACCAATCGGTTAAATATTTAAATCTCTATTTTGCATGTCATTGAACTAAAAAAAATCACCTTTCTCGATTCTTATTTTGTTTTTATTTTATTTTTACTTCGAGATATGAAGGCGCGTGATTGAAACGCTACTATAAAGAGTAGTTGTCTATGYCAAACTAAAAAAGGACATAATTTAATAACAATTCAGGCGTGTAATGTTTGAAAATAGTAACAATTTAATATCTACTATAAAAAATATTGTCAAAAGAAAGTGTCCATTTTTTTTACTTCATTAAGTRTCCATTCTTATTCTATAACAATTTAGTATTATAATTTATAAACATATTAGTCTGATCTACCAGTATAARAAATCCTAACTGTATAAAAAAAAAGAAAACTAACTAGATTTTTTATAATAGAAATTAAATTATTACATATTAAAATTTAAAAATTAAACCGTTACCAAAAGGGATTAAATTAGTTTTTTTCTCTCTCCCAAAGGGGAAAAAAATATTTTTTAACCTAAGAATTAAAATACAGGCAAGATTACTTACGGCGCGTGAGAAAGGGCGCGTGAACCCAACATTCCGGTGTTCTGTACAGTACGGTTCGACGCCGAAACTGACGGTATAGTATAAAATCTTAGATATCAAGCAAAACCCAAAAACCCTCGAAAAAGAGCCTCCATTGGAAGCAACGTCTGCTCCACTCTCGCTCTTCCGCCGGAGAATTTCTGCCACCGTCACCGGAACCCTAATACGATCACGATGTCGCAGTCATTGGAGCTATTGCTTATACAATTCTTGATGCCGGACAATGATGCCCGGCGCCAAGCGGAAGAGCAGATTAAGCGCTTGGCCAAGGATCCGCAGGTGGTGCCTGCTCTTATTCAGCACCTCCGCACTGCCAAGACTCCAAACGTCCGCCAGCTGGCTGCCGTCTTGCTCCGGAAGAAGATCACCGGTCATTGGGCTAAGCTTTCTCCTCAACACAAGCAACTTGTCAAGCAGTCCTTAATTGAAAGCATCACTGTGGAGCACAGGTGTTTTGAGTTGGTTATCATGTTTGGCTGTTCACACCTGCGTTTCTTTCTCGTGAACTCTGAATTGTATTTTAGATTCGAGCTCTTTCTCTCTCATGGTGTGGAGTGAGATAAATGTTCAAATTGGGTCTACCTGATTTGGCATAAAGAGAATTGGGTGTGTTCCAATTCACAGAATTACGTAAAGAATGCAATTGGTTGCTTCCTAATTCTAATTCGCTTTTATGGTTGGCATTTTATTGATTATAACTTTGTTGAGGGTGTATAGTTTCGTACGTAAACAATGTTATTTGATTCTCAGTCTTCTATTGACTAATACATGTACTGGTGATTTTGCAGTCCACCAGTGAGGAGAGCAAGTGCGAATGTCGTGAGTATTGTTGCAAAATATGCTGTTCCTGCAGGGGAATGGCCGGAATTGTTGCCTTTTCTGTTCCAATGTAGTCAGAGTTTACAGGAAGATCATAGAGAAGTAAGTTCATACCCACCCTACAAGACATTTTAACTATTTATGAAACAAACAAGTAGAATGTTTTTTGTTTCGTCGGGGGAGCTGTAGACATCATTAATGTGCCGATCGGTGGTGTATGCTCGTACCATAAATACATTCTCGACATAACTATAAATGATTGTAGAACATGCATCCTTTGTATCTTCTTCTCCTTGTACTTTCAACGGTGGTGCCATGATCTCTACTATGATGAAATTTTATCAAGCGCTGTAATTGGTACAGACTAAATTCAATTGTTTCAGCTGACTAAAATGTATGATTCACTTGGTGTTAGTAGGTGGCTTTGATTCTATTCAGCTCCCTGACAGAAACAATTGGAAATACTTTCCTACCACATTTCACAGATTTGCAAGCACTCCTACTTAAGTGCTTGCAGGACGAGACTAGCAACCGTGTCAGAGTTGCAGCCTTGAAGTAATGTTTGTTATTTGAAACTCCATCTGATTACAATGAAATAGCTTTGTTATCTACATGAATAGTTTCTTGTTGTGTCCAGGGCAGTGGGATCTTTTCTGGAATTTACTCATGATGGAGCAGAAGTGGTAAGTTTGAATAGGACTACGTTAGAATAAAATTCATTCATGATTTATTTTTAGCTCCTGGCACGTGGGGATTTTTTTTCCTCTGATGATGACGTATGAATATGTTACTAGAATCAGACAAGGATTTCTCTGTGGTTTTGTTTCTGGCTGTTTTATCAGTCCTCTACGTGGTCTTATCTAATAGCCATGTTTCATGGTCTCTTACATTGTATTTTGTTCCAGCTTATGCAACAGTTATTCACTCTTTTTATTTTTTATGTTTATATTCATAAACACAGGTCAAATTCCGGGATTTCATTCCCAGCATTTTAAATGTTGCTAGGCAGTGCCTTGCCAATGGCGAGGAGGATGTTGCAATAATAGCTTTTGAAATATTTGATGAGCTAATTGAATCCCCTGCTCCTCTTCTTGGGGAATCTGTTAGATCAATTGTGCAATTTTCACTCGAAGTTTGTTCTAGCCAAAATTTGGAATCTAGCACTCGTCATCAGGTAGGGCTGTTGTATATGTTGTTTTTTTAAAAATAATAATAATAAAATGATTGGGATTTCTTGTTTTAGATGATGCATGTTGGTCTGTCTTTTTGTTTCTTGTTGTTCTAATGTTTGCTTGCTCCATTTCCTTGTTCATTCTCAGGCAATTCAGATAATCTCGTGGCTAGCAAAGTACAAGCCCAATTCCCTGAAAAAGCATAAATTAATTGTCCCCGTTCTGCAAGTTATGTGCCCATTACTTGCAGAGTCTTCTGATGGAGATGGAGACGATGATCTTGCTTCTGATCGAGCTGCTGCCGAGGTTATTGATACAATGGCCTTAAATCTATCGAAACATGTTTTCCCTCCTGTGTTTGAATTTGCTTCTCTTAGTAGTCAGAATGCAAATCCGAAGTTCCGTGAAGCTTCTGTGACATCTTTAGGGGTCATATCAGAAGGTTGTTCAGAACATGTAAAACGTAAGTTAGAACCAGTTCTTCATATTGCCCTTGGAGCATTAAGGGACCCTGAACAAATGGTAAGAGGGGCCGCATCTTTTGCCTTGGGTCAATTTGCTGAGTATTTACAGCCAGAAATAGTGTCATTCTATGAGAGTGTGCTTCCTTGCATTTTAAATGCCCTTGAAGATACTTCTGATGAAGTGAAGGTATGGTAGAACCATGGAGGAGAAAGTATGTCATGAAAAAATTATGGATTGTGCACTAGTTTTAGTGAAAGTAATTTTCATTTGCAGGAAAAGTCATACTATGCATTGGCTGCATTTTGTGAGAACATGGGTGAGGAAATTCTTCCTTTTCTCGATCCTTTGATGGGTAAACTGCTGTCTGCTCTTCAGACAAGCCCCCGGAATCTGCAGGAAACATGCATGGTATGGCTTCTTTTATAAATTTTCCTCCACCTGGCCATCAACAGATTTAGACAAATCGTTACATCTTCTATGTGCCAAATATATTTTCATAACTTGGAAATTGTTAAATGAATTACAGTCTGCAATTGGTTCAGTAGCAGCTGCAGCAGAACAGGCTTTCTTACCTTATGCTGAGAGAGTGTTGGAGTTGATGAAAATATTTATGGTTCTTACCAAGGATGAGGAGCTTGTTTCCCGAGCAAGGGCTACTGAGTTGGTTGGAATAGTTGCCATGTCTGTTGGGAGAACCCGGATGGAGCAAATTCTACCTCCTTTTATTGAGGCGGCAATTGCTGTAATGCATAAGCACTTGTCTTTTCTGGTCTAGATTTCCTATTTTACCTTCCAAGAATTAACCCAGCCCTTCTCTTCTCTTAGGGTTTTGGATTGGAGTTCAGTGAACTACGGGAGTACACTCATGGTTTCTTCAGCAATGTAGCAGAAATTTTGGATGATGGCTTTATAAAGGTAGTTCTATCTTTGTATGAGTTCATTGTCAATCATTTTCTCATACTTACAGAATCTTTGAAGTTAAAATTTGCTATGTAAACAGTATCTTCCTCATGTTGTACCCCTTGCACTCTCTTCTTGCAATCTCGACGATGGCTCTGCTGTGGACATAGATGAATCAGATGATGAAAATATAAATGGATTTGGAGGAGTTTCATCAGATGATGAAGCTCATGATGAGCCCAGAGTTCGAAATATTAGCGTCAGGACAGGGGTGCTGGATGAAAAGGCAGCTGCAACACAAGCTCTTGGCTTGTTTGCTTTGCACACAAAGAGCTCTTATGCACCGTATCCTTTTGTGATAGCATTTATTTCTTTCTTTTTTGTTTCCCCCCAGAACCAAAGTCATCAATTACTATTTTGGGTTCTTTGACTTTAAAAAAAGCTATTTGGAGGAAACACTAAAGATTTTGGTTCGACACTCTGGATATTTTCATGAAGATGTCCGACTTCAGGCAATCATAGGATTGGAACGTGAGTTGCCAGCACTTCTTTTTTGCAATTATTTTTAGCCACTGAATAGCCCTTATCTTTTTCAAGTTTATGATTTTTTTGTTGTTTGTAAATTTACCTTTTCTTATCTAAGATTTTATTCTCTGCTTAACTCGTTTACAATAAGCAATAAATTCTGATGGAGCATTTTGGTTGCTTTATTTTCTGAAGGAACATTACTACTGAAAATATTTGGAAGAAAACTTTAGTGGCACATTAATGAAAAATTTTTTTTTGAAAGAAAAGATTATTTTCATGAAGTGCGCCCCTTCACTTGAAGAAAAGTAATGTCTTTCTTAAAAAGGAACTGAATTATTGAAATCTCATTAATACCAAGTT